GATATTTTCTCCATTGCTTCTCAGATAGAGTGGGGGGGGGGGAGAAACATCGATGTGAGAGAGAGACATGGATTGGTTGCCTCCCGCATGCACCCCAACCAGGGCCGGGGATTGAGCCTGCAATCGAGGCACGTGCCCTTGGCCGGAATCAAACCCAGGATCCTTCAGTCGGAGGGCCTATGCTCTAACCACTGAGAAAAACTGACTAGGGAGAAATAGTCTTAAGAAAACAGTTTTTAATAGAAATTTCAACAAAAACATACATACTGAGTTCTTATTCCACATTTTGATAATCCGAGAGTCTGCAGACAAAACCAAATCTAAAGAATCCTGGAAATGGACCGACTTGATGGGTAGCCCATATTGGTGATCCTTAACCAGCAGTGGCTTATCCGAGCGAAGGTCATATAATAAAACCTACAAGGAAAAAAACAAGTTATTTCTGTTTAAACAAACTAAATGTCTTATCTTAAAAAAAAAACAAACTTTTAAGACTTACATTTGCTTCACTGCCTTTTTATGAGCAAAATGAACACCCTCACCCAGGGTACAAAGATCCCAAAGCCAGCCAGCAAATGCTCTAGAAAAACTTCTTAAATGATCTTAGAGAACATGGCTTTATGAGTTAACAACGAGAGTGATTTTTAAGCACACTAAGATTGAGAACCACTGGGCTACACTGAGAAAGGAACAAAAATGGAAGCCCATAAGAATTTGTGTCATTTGGGAATTCAACAAATATAAACACTTAGGGCCTACTGTGTTCCAGGCACTGTCACAGTAAGTGACAGAAACAAGCATGACAGGCATAAAAAAGACAGTTCAGGGAGATTCGAAACAGGTGGTGGCGGCAAGGCTATGACTGAGCCGTAGGGGTCTCTTCTGAGCCCTGTCATTAGAGGACAGAAGCCTGGGGAAGCTCAATCTTTGTCCCAGGTGACAGGTCCTCTCCAGACCACGATGGCAGAGGTAGTAAATGTCCTGGAAGCACGGTCTCGGGCCTTTTCTGGGGGAGAGCAAACTGGCACGTGTGGGCTCTGCCCTGAAGGGAGGAGAGGGATGAAAGCCCTGCACCTGCTTCACTGGTGCTCCGCAGACTAGCAGATGCGGAGCTGTGTCCCTGGGTACCCACTGCAGGGGATCTGGTGAATGGTGCTAACTAGAAGACAGGTGCCTGCGACAAACACATTTTGGAAATACTTATTCAACACATTTCTTGTCCACAGAAATTCTCAGAGCCTTCAATATGTATTTAAATACACTATGAATCTGCAAGAGTGGGAATCTGGCAGAACTGCAAACTGTTTTGACCACAGAATTCTGTTCCAGATACTCTGAGAAATACAGCTTTAAACCACAGTGCAGAGGACATACCCCACTGCAGTTCTGGCTCAAGAGCCTCTCAGACCAACCACTAAGGACAGAACCGAAGTTTCTCAAGGTGCTGAAAGAATGTATCACTCTGGAGCACTCTCTCCACTCTGGCTAAAACATACAGGGTGGGGCAAAAGTAGGTTTACGGTTCATATGGAAAATAATACAATAATTAATAAATAATAATACAAGAATAAACTGGGTTTTGAGTACTCACACTGTAAACCTACCCCGTTTGCCCCACCCTGTGTAACGCCTCACTTTCTGTTTCCACAGTGAAAATATGTGGCTGTTTCTCAAGATACATACGTGTATCTGGAACACTAAAGTGTGATGTTTCCAACTTAAACATACTTACCTGCCCCGTGGATGTTCCAACTGCCATGGTCAAGGCACCGTTAAATTTTAAAGCAGAAATTGTTGGTAAACTGTTTATCCTGAAAGGCAAAATATTCATGTTCCATGTAACAAATTCACTATTAATCTTTACTTCAATTCTAATAGGGAAAATAATTTCTCTCGCCTTTTTTTTTTTTAAAAAAAATATCTTTATTGATTTCAGAGAGAGAAAAGGGAGAGAGAGAGAAACATCAATGATGAAAGAGTCATTGATCGGCTGCCTCCTGCACGCCTCCAACTGGGGATCGAGCCCACAACCCGGGCATGTGCCCTGACTGGGAATCAAACCCTGATCGCCTGGATCGTAGGTGGATGTTCAACCGCTGAGCCACGCCTGGCCGGGCTCTCATCTTCTTTTGAATAAGTGAATTGCATCCAAACTTTCTTAGTCAAAACAAAAAAATAAGTTCTACATATAAATGTAATCTACCTTTAAAAATCTGTAGATTATCTTCAAAAACTGTAAGAAATATTCTCAAAGTAGCTACACACAGAAACTTCTGAAAATATAAAAGCAGTTAAAAAGATTCAGTATGACACTATCTCTCACTTTAACAGCCAGGATAAGGTATTTACAGAAGCATCCCCTTTTGCTTAAAAGGAAACAATTTAATATTCAGGCGTGGGTATACCCATTTCCCTTTTTAACGTTAGCCATGTCAAGCTAAAATAAAAGACTAGGGTGCAAATGGGGACCCCACAATCTCTAAAAGTAACAAAGAATGATGAGTAGCTATGGCCATGAATCTGGAACATCCTTCTCACTCAGCAACCAAGAGTATCAGCAGCAAAAGCAATGATCTGTGGGGGAAAAGGTGCTGGACTACTAGTCAGAAGCAAACAATGGTCCTAATTTCACTACTTATTGTCTGTGTGGCCTTGGACCAGGCAGCTGGCTGCTGGCATCCTTGCGTCTCTTACGACACCTAGAGCCTCAGCCCAAAACTACAATGAGCGTCGGAAACCTTGAGGCCGCTCATCCACGTCATTCAGCCGGTTACTCTTCAAAAAGAACCTCCAACCAACACGCAGTAATATGTTCTTTTTCTTCAATTTTCCCACTTTTCTGTTTCCTAATAAAACTGTCATCTTCTTCAGATAGGTGCTTAACTTCATCTCTCAGTGTTTTACAATTTTTGTTGTTATGAATGCAAATTGTTTTCTATTTGTATCTAACTGGATATTGCTGATAAATAGCAAACTGATTTTGTACATTTATTTTGTAACCAATTTACTTAACTCTCATATGAGCTCCTACAGTTTTCCAATGGATTCTACTGGGTCTTCCAGGAGACAATTACATCTTCTGCAGATACTGAGGGCCTGTCCTCCCTACCCAATGTCTACACTCATCTCTTTCTCTTACTGTATCAGCCCCACCTTCCAGAACTCTACTCCTGTCAAATAACAGAGGCAACAGCTTATAACATTTGTGTAGGAAAAAATTAAATTAAGCTAAGCATAAAAAAATAAAACCACCCGAAACTGAGTCAGCAAACAAAACCACTTTTAACATTTTGGTTCACATCCAGATTTCACCCCTATGATGTGTTGTTTTCTCACAAAAATGTGGTAATACCCATAGGCAAGTGTATGATTCGCTTTACCACTTCAGGGTATATTTGGAACATCTTTCCCTAGAAATAAGTATGCTTTTGCAACATAACTCTTACTGTCTAACATATGCCATTGGTGATATTTCCTCATCTGTAAAATACATAACAGTACCTATATCAAAGGTGGTTGTTGTATTAAGTCAATATAGTATATAAAGAACTTAGAACAACAGAAAGTACTATCTGTTAGCTATTATTTCTACCAAGCTGTATTCAATCAATATCCTCGGGTTCTTTTTGATTGCAGCAAATAATCCCATGTCAAGGATCTGATCAAGAGAGTGACAGGTCTGCATATGTGTTAATACACACATAGAAAAATGTTGGACAATATACGTACCAAACATGCAATAACAATACTCTGGAGAGTAGGAAAGAACAGGGGCTCACATTTCTAACTAATTCAAGTTTCTAGAGGCTCTCATCCTCCAAGGGTGCCAAAGAGGAACAAGATTGTATCAAACACGCTTACTTAGCATTCTAAGTGCCTCTTTTTGCTTGTTAACTGCAGTGTGGACTCCTGGCTCTATCCTAGACCCTACTCTCCGTATTTTAGAGAGGAATTCTATCTGACTTACACACTTAGTGAGCCTTCACAGGAAAGGATTTCTACATAATCATCACAAAAACTACCACCTCAGACATATGTCTAAAGAAGTGCATCCTTTAGTAACTGATTTTTTTAATTTTTATTTTATATATCTTTATTGATTTCAGAGAGAGGAAGGGAGAGGGACAGAGAGAGAGACAGAAACATCAATGATGAGAGAGGCATTGATCGAGCCCGCAACCCGGGCATGTGCCTTGACTGGGAATAGAACCCTGATCGCCTGGATCCCAGGTTGACACTCAACTGCTAAGCCACGCCCGGCCAGGCCAGTAACTGATTTTAATTTAATATTGATACATCTGTAATCAGAAGCGGATATTTAAGCTACAAATTTATTTCTACTTACTCTGAATCTGCTGTGACGCTACTCAACGCACAGTCCAAGAGGCCAACCCTGCTTCGAACTCGTGGGTCCCAGCATTCCACTCGACCCTAAATGAACAGAAACCAGCAACTTCAAATAATAGCTGCTACTAGTAAATATTTAGATACCAAAAAAAAGTCCTAATGATAAAAAATATAAACATACACAAAGATTGGTTTACAATATTAACCATCTTAAAAGCAAGACGTTGAATATACGTGGAAGGCTTGACCTCATTAAGTCATTTACTATTATTACTAATGTGTCTCACAAAGATTTAAAGCAGTGATTTTCAACCCATGTGCAGCAAGAGGCATAGAGTTATGTCTCAAGAATTTTTAAAACATGCAGTACCTGACTATTTAGTCAGAGGCACTGATCTCTTTTCCCTTAGAATGTCAAATTTAAAAAATGACAACAGCCAACACAGCAATAGCTGTCCTGTGTGAATGAATAAAAATTATACCTCTTTTTTTGTCAGATTGGCAAAAAATATATTTTTGGTGTGCTGCATTTTTGGAATTAGTTTATGTGCCATGAGATGAAACAGGCTGAAAATCGCTGACTTAAGTAAAGGAAGAGAAATCTCATAAACATGCAGCAGGGAACTCCAAGGTCTGGCCTTTTAC